CCATGTTGCATCTTTCAAAACACCAGACACTAATGAATATAATTACGGTGAATACAAATATTCATCGGGGTTGTTAGCAAGTAATAAGGCGTAATAACAACATGAGCCAAAAAATAGAATCTGATTACCAAAGCTCCGGATAGAAAAATGAATAGCAAATCAAGGTGATCGTTAAGTTATTCTCAAACCATGACTATCCAAAACCTTTTATTTACTGGAAATAATCCAGAGCGCTTATGTTAATAGCAAAAAGTCTGCACTTTTTCAGCCATTAAAATATTATCTTAGTTCGCGCAGAATTACTACACAGATCCAATAAAATGAATTTATAATACGTTGCTTGAATTATTCTCCAATCATTCTCCATGTTTGTACGTCTGATATATATTTCATTTATTTTGTTAGAAAAGTGAGACTACCCTCCTTGAAATGATTTAATTAAAAATCGAATACACTCATGTATAAAAATGAATCTCACAATTACGACTGCATCGCTTTGTGATGGAGATTGTAGTATTCAAAGGGGGCAAACTGTCGAAGAGCCGTGTCTCAGAACCAGCTTATTCCATGGCTCCATGTAAATTATGTCTGCGTCCATGTTGCAAACAAACATTGCTAACAGCCTGCGATGACAAAAATCTACAGCCCAAAATACAAAATTCCTTCGCAGCTTTAATTGTTATACCTTTCTCGTTATCAGCGACCTCTGATAAAACATTGCAGTCACAAAGATTACCCTAAGGAATAGGAAGTTCACAATTTTAGAGTTTCTTTGTGGAATCAGCTGTGTGTAGTCAAAGAAAAATATGGCACAAACGAATTACCATAAATGCAAGCATCGATTAACCTGATCTTTGTCTGAAACTCTGAATGAAAATGAGAGGTTCACGTTTCCCTTTGAAGTAACACGAATATTGAAAACACTAAATACGTATGTGCACAACACCACCCACAATTGCTGTATGTTGCACATGGTAAAGGCAACCAAATTAATACAAGAGAAAAGTACATGTTTTATTTGTTGGGCATAGCCATGCCGCAAGTGAACAGATGTCGTATCATCTATTTTTCATTGGCTCTGGTAGTACAGCAATTTCACATGTGATCACAAGTAGTGTTCTGTTTATGAGTTGTCTGACAACCGACCAGAGACTTGTAGTACGAGTTTATTATTAATGAAGCACTTTTAATCTTCATCTGCAGGGGCAGCACACCTGCATTCACTAATTAATCCACGGCAAACTGCTTCCCACGCTCAATGAGCATGTGTCATTCCAAAAGGACGGTCAAGTAGATTGACACTCATGATTAAAAGTCTTCACATTATCATAAAACTGTAAGGATGTTTACAAACTCGAGTGTATACCACATCTACATCTTGATGGTATAAAAATTGCAACAAATTTGTTCAGAATTTTAGGGGTTGATTTAATTGCTTCGATAAGGATGTACACACGGACATCGAAAACTTGCAAAAAAATATAAAAGTACCTCTTGGGGAGAAAATAATGAAATTTTTCAATGTGTTCCTCCACTGCTTCTCGAATACCAGATCTTATACCCTAACTACCTTCTATTATCATTATATAATTGTTGTGCCAGATAATGGCCCAATATCTTCTTTCTCCGTGGCAGCAACCAAGCACAAAGATTTTTGCTTTCAGTATGCTGGCTACTATAAACTCTGGAAATGCATTATGGACCAAATTATAATCAGCATCATGTAAAGGGGAAGGAGTTTCCAGCAGACAGCCCCATGACTAAAATACTCTGCAAATTTCTGCACAATTTTCTTCGTCTCATCACCTCTACGGTCTCGTCAAAGAATACCATTGCGGCACCAAGAATTGGAACGCATGCGTTTCCCCTTGAAGTCTTTTACAATGAATACTTTCTACCAGAAGTGATCATTTTGCATGCCTGAGTCTTATCTGATGTATTACACCGGCCTAAGCAGACGGTTTTCTGATAACTTTTAAACACAGCTTTACATTAATTATTAGAGTCCAACCTACCGACTCAAGACGCCATCATATGACAACAGTTATGTAGCAAAAGGAGACAGGGGACCCCCTTGCGAACTCTTACTCCCACCCCACCCCACTCCGGAAAATTTGGATTGTTTTGGGGTCCGAAGCTTTCGCCACGCCATCTGTAGTGTGTTGATGTACGTTACTTCAGTGTGGACTTAGACCTATTTAAGGCTTTGAATCAAATGGGAATTGCCTCTTACACTTAAAAATAACCAGGCCCAAGAGAAGTTCCTGGTTACGCCACTGAACGACAGCAACAATATGCCCATCAACCGTCATTAGGTCTATATTGTTTCAATAATTAATATTCGTGGGAAAGCGGGTTACATAACGACTTAGAGAGCAGTAGGTGTGATGTCAGCATTCAATAACAGATATGTGCCGCTTCCGACAAGGCCTAATCTCAGTATTAATGTCCAAGTCTTTGTTCAATTTGGGGGTTCCCACGGTACCAGCCATCTGTTTGTATGCATTCAGAAATGATGTACATTTTCTCATAAAACAAATTGAGCAATTACAGAAGGGATTATCTTCGCAAACTCCGCAAACAGTCGGCGGGAGAATCGTTGCACAGCTGTGCGTCTGGTCTGAGCGGCGTGTGCATACATGATGCGCGCTGGTGCGTCTGAGCAGCCGACGGCTATTTTCAGATGACAATAATCATTCTGCGTTGTACATCTGTTACCATTTTTATATTATTAATAATCTTCTGTTTATTTCATATGAATATATATATATATATGATAATCTTTGAGTCGTAGATGTAATAAGTGCATTGAATTTCGTTCTTCAACGCTGTAAGCTCAAACGCATAATTAATTTCGGTACAAAAAGCAAGATTTTCGTAATAGAAAAGTTATTATGACCTTGAACGACCACAACATTAGTCTCCAAATCGGAACAGAGTTAATAATTATCGTATCATTCAACCGGCGTTTTCTCCAATATACGAAGAGACGTCCAACCAAAATAATGACCAGAGATCATCTTGCAAATAGAGGACGCTAAACTTTCACATGGGAAGACGATGTCTTGGCTGCAGCAAGCAGGAGCGTACGCGTCTATGGAAATTTGAGGAAGCCGCTCCAGGTATAGGGCCTACTTGTACGCCACATGTGTACCTGTATACAGTGGCTCGAAGCCAACTAATTTGGGCGCAGACAAACTGTCTCAAAGTAAAAGATCATTTCGCATCGACCGAGGATGCACAGCAGTAACCTTATTTACAAATTACAATGTAATGACAAAAGAAACAAGAAATTCCAATTTCCAGTAAACTGTAAAAAGTAAATCACTTTTGGATTTTGTCTCAGTTTTGTCAGGTTTAGGGTCTCCAGTAATTATTACATTAATACATTCCAAAGAAATTACTAGTTTGTATTGCTTGCCTTTACTCAAAAGAAGATACCTGATGATTGTAACAAGGTTGTGTTATTATTCCCAATCGTCAGGGCATAGGTATTTGTATGGCGCCATCACATCATCGGGAAAGGTGCCTGAACCCCAGGCCTCGCGCGGTTCGCCTATATTGGGGGACTTCACATTGGGTCGTCCTAGGAATATCACGTTCAATAACTTTTGGAAGAATAATTCCTAACTGAAACTACTCCACATGAAACACTCATGTTGGAATGTTTCCTTTGTCTTCTTCAACTAATAATTAGGAACAGTCACCTGGAGATGGGTAAAAAACGAATTTAATCAACGACCTCTCACGTCACGTTTGTTTTTCACTCCCCGTAAAAATGAGATTGTAAACCGTTGCAAAGATTTACCTATCTGTAGTCGATAGGTTCTATGTTCCATCGATTTGACATAGCACAGTTGTTGTCAAAAATCATATAAAATATTAGAATCTTTCGTAAAAGTGGACTAATGCTTTAAGTTTATTACCTTATAAATCAAAATAGTTTTGTGAAATAGTTTGATCTGTTTTTATTTCGGCTTTTACTGACAAACTACCATAAAATTTCAAATGTTCATTTGCGTGCGAGACCGCCGTATTGGACTGTTCTTCATATACTTTAGATTTTCGGAAGTGATGGGTCAATTTTTAGCAGAATATTTCTCTTTAGGTCAGGTAATTTTTCAGTTTCTATAAATTGATATACTAGAAAAAAATTTCCAAAGCCCCTTTTCCAAGTTGGATTTTAACTGAAGTAACTGAACGAAAAAAATTACAAATTCTAGAATCTTTGCACACGTTACTTTTCCTGTCCAAGGGTTCCGGAAGCGCGCCATCGTGGGTCAACTTTCAAGCTCGTTGGTCGAGTTCGGGCGGCCTGTTCTTGATACGGGTTTCTTGTTCTCACGCTCGAACGGCGAGAACACGACTTAAGAACACTGTTCTCGGAACAGGATCACACACCACCTCCTCAGCTCGTCAGGGTTTTACAGGAACACACGGAAAAACTCGTGAGATTTTGATTTTTGAACAGCTGCAAAAAGTAGACAGATGGCTTCCAAAGCCATAGACCATGTAGACAATGGGAATTTCTGAAAAAATTAACATTAATTATTTTCCGAAACACAGAAATGAATGTTCCTGTTTATATAGAAAGGAATTCAGCCCATCCAAACCTTAAGTCTCGAACAACGTACATCGACGCCGCCATGTTGCATGTTGCTTGTAATAACCGGTTGTTTGTTCCCAGCGTTCGAGCGGCCACCCCACGAACAACAAATCGAGCTGTTCGTGAACATACGGGGAGAAGCCGCCCGAACTCAGCCTATGTAAAATAAGTTACTCAGTGGTCACTGGCTGTCAAATGAGGGCGCACTCACAGAAAGCTTACGCGACGGTTTCTGGACACCGTACTGAATCAACAGTCGGCAAAATGTGACTCATGCCATTATTGATCATTTCCGCGTGAGGCAGTTTCTAAAATTTGGTGTGCAAAAGTGACAATCAGGGAATAAAGCAAGTCGGTGTGTGAATCACTAGGCTCCAACTTCCTGTTATCAATAATTACGTAATAAAAAATGCATGGATGCAAACATAAAAACCAAGGTTGAAAATCGATCTCTTGTGGCATTACTGTTTTATTATTAGTCACCTTTACCCAACCTTGAAATTCTGGCCCTCCCATCGATCATCCCCTGGACGAACTTGTTCACTTGACTTCTTGATATCTAGGAAGGGAGAAGTTCACTTTTCTAAATTACATTCCATTTGTTGGAGTTTCTTGATACTTTTTTTCATGCTACTGATCCTTTGCTTGGCTACCATCTTATACAGGCAAGCGTTCTTGCTCCAAAGGGTATGGACAAAGGGGGTTTCCCTATGGAACAAAAGAACTTCCCTGCAAGATGGCTGCCACACGAGGTTTCTGTAGTTTCACGGAAGTCTTCAGAAAGGCCTACAATCCCCACTCAGTAACTTCTGGTTCAGTCTTTCCGTGAAGCTATGACAGTTATTACTTAGCAGGTTGTAGGATCCATAATGGGACAGATAGCTCGCTGCAACCTCTTTTACCTCTGAGGATGTACAATTACTCTGACCGTAAAGGCTCCAGTGGATCGGGCAACCGTGTGGGTCGCGGCCTAGGGTACCTCGGGCGTATGATCGCAACAAACCTTGTCCCCACTCGTACACCTCTCCACGGAAATACACCTTGAAATTGAAATAAAAACGAGTATGTTATAATGGAAATCTAACTTGGAATTGAAATCATGTCACTTTTAATAACAAAATTATGTTAGAACTTTCCAGCTTTCAAGCATTGAACACCCCTAAACTATTGCTTTTCGACTTTTCGATTTGGTTTTGGTGGATCACCGCACGGCAATGACAGCATTCTTTTTTCTTTTTTCTTTTTTAACTCCGCGCCGACTGGCTTCAGATTTCGACATTGTTGGCCTCTTACTTGATATCCCTGGAACATATTCTCACTTTCCTGTCCTCGGGCTAGGTTTTACTAGGTTTTACACGTTCCAATTCTTTATCATCGTGGAACATTCGAGTCAACAAGCATTACCAGTGTGTGGATCGGATCCAGATTTCTTGGGATCAACTGGAAGGGGTCGATGACCTGCCTGCGAACCATTCCTCCTTTTACGGTGTCATTAGGCCAACCGCACATGTAGCTAAAAAATGGCAGTCGACCAAGCCACACATCGGAGATTGGATCTGGAGACAAATACACCAAAAACCAACTTAATTTATTGAGTGATGGAGAAATTCGCTGAAAGTATTTATGTAACGATGTTGATCATAAAATGCACGTTTATTGTGACTAAATAATTGAGTCCATGATACACTTCCCTTTTAACATAACCAACGAAGAAGTGCATTTGGACAAAAATGGCATCTTGGGAAAAAACTTTGTCGCAATCTGTGGAATTAGTCTCTTCAAGTGGCAAACAACAATAAGTGTTTTCTATAATGAAACGTCTTCAGATGAGCCACTTTGCAGTCCTTGACCTAAGGAGAAGTTATGACGAAAAACTGATCTTATTATCGGTTTTACTTCGTTTCACTTCAGGTCTCACGTACCTTGCGTTGGTCCTTGACCTTTCGGAGGTATACTGCCACTGGTTCCCAGCCGCCTACACCCATGTGCGCCATGAACTAACACCAGCAAAAAAGTAGCAGAAAAAAATAACACTACGCGGGACCGATTCATTATCGCCGAAACTTTCAGGTGGGAGCACTTTTACACAAGAAAAGGTCTTTCTGAAGTTTATCTTGACGGAATGTACGGCTTGTGAGCGATGGATCTGTATGACCAGTCACACGCTAGCCAGACCTCACACGGGAAATAAGCCTGCATGTGAGTCATCGCTTAAAAATATCCACCAATTACTACTTACTTGACGTAACCTTTGTTTTTAGCATGTCGTAGATGGAAACCCATAAACGACTCTTACACAGTGTCAATTTGTCAAGGGTAAAGAACAGACAAAAAGAGCGGAAAATAACTTTTCAGAGGCGGAGCTACAATGTGAGGATCCCTGCAACAACGGTTGTACAGAAGTTCAGATACAACTCTTGCTTTCAAAATGAAAAGTTGGGAATAAATAGGCCTTGTGGTTAACAGTTTGTCGAATGGTCACTGGGTTATCTCAAGATTAGTTTTTATAAAATGAAAAGTCAAGAATGATAGCAGGCCTTGTGGTCTTACCTAAGTGTCACTTGCCAGTTATTGTCGCAAGATTTGATCCATAAAATAAAGAAGCATTTATTTCACCATCGTCCATGACACTTAGAATTTTTCGATAACAAATTATCTGGGAAGTACAGGCACGTCTGACCACCCCCACGGAGTAGCCGCAGTTGACCCGTCAGTCAGGTTTTTGTGTGATTTATGCTCACATAAAGAACGTCCGCAAGCAGATGGATTTGGATGATGAAATAGATACTGCCTCCCGGCGGATTCAAGTCTGCCTGAAGTTGTTAGATTGTAAAATATTTAGAAAAACATAAGTTTGATGCTCTGATCAAATTAGCAGCCAACAGTTTAAAATTGTAGATCCTGTCCCAAATCGTCCTGCGCGTACATATACGCAATTCACCTGTACATTGTTATACACTACGGTACTTGACAAGACCGTTGGTATTACAAAAATTATCTTGAACTCACTGCTGACAGTTTCTGAATTTTCTAAATATAAGTTCACCCTGAAACCTACATTTAAAAGCATTCAAAAAATGGGAGGCACGTTCAATGCTGTTGAAGAAACGTGCAACAAAAATACACAAATAGGGTTTTGTACGGCAAACAAAGTGTCGTATGGGGTCAGTGTAAAGTCGTTCGACCAAAACCCCTGAACCAGACAGCTACTTTGAAACAAATCAATCATCAATGCACTTTACATCATTTTGACAGGTTTGCTAGGTACCGATAAGTCAGTGTACAAACGCCAGGTTTATCCATGACCTCCGTCTCAATGCTTTCTTTTCAGCACATATCCTTTCCATTCTCAGGGATTTTAAAAGCTATCGACACGAGTGGCAGATAGCTGTAAGCAATAATTCAACGGTTAAAGAGGCAGTATAAACTGGAAAGTTGCATTGAAAAGTTGAGTTGTTAATAAGTGGTATTTTTTAAACTGAAGAGCACATAATCAGGCATTCCAAATGACCTCTTGAAACCTGAACTCAATGTTTTGGTAAGCCTAAAAGCTGATAAAATGTAATTGATTTAGCTGACGTTCCTGGAACTTAATGCTCTCAAGATTTCTCGCATTTCGGGTAAACGAACTATTTCCCTGAAACAATTGGCGCATTCAGCAGTAGATTGGAACTATTAAGAAGTGCCTGACCTTCTGGATGAAGAGGGTAAATTCATCACAGACGTAAATGCTCAGGAGAGAGTGCCTTTTTAAGACTTAAAATCTGTTGGTGGATTGACAGAGTTTTGCATCAGTAGGTCAACTATGCAGTGCGTTGACTCGATGTCAGAGCTGCACTTTTGTCCTTCACGCGCGCAGTCATGTGGGCAAGTTCACAAGTTCATCGTGGGAGGATCTATCTGCAGGGACGCCTTGCATCTCGCATTTCATCAACGAGCTGGCACCATTTTGCATCATTTCAAAACTTCGAGCACGATAAGAGGGTCGATATGGCTCCATCTCTGCGAACGCCAGGTGTTTTCCAATTGCTCCTGATGCTACAACTTACCTTAAACTGGATACGGAGTGACGTAGAGGCGATTCGAGCCGTCAATCCTCCCGTCAGCACGACAGGCGTGGTAGGACATGAGGCAGAGTTCTCCTGCTCAGTGGCGGACAAATCAGCGAATGAAATATTGACATGGAGACTTGAGTGGGAAGGAACAGACTCCCCACAGTTTGTGCACTTGACAGCTGGGCAGAATACCACGACGTTTATCGTAGACGAAGAGCTCTTTCAAAAAAAACATGCCACCTACACAACAAGGTAATCGACGCAAGCGATCTAATTTGTAGCAATTCCAGACCTTTCACACTCAGTCGTGTTATTACTGTTAAAAGTGCTACATTCAGAATACGCTAAAGGCAAGGACAGAGCTTGTGAAGGAGTATGCCTTTCGATTGCTATTTTCAAAGGAAGAGTTTCCAGACAGCACACATTTAAAAGTATGATTCCCACGACATGCGGCTGCTTCCTTTGCTTTTTAGGCGTATAAATCTTATATCACTATTAAACTTGAAATGAGGCTTAAAAATTTTGATATAAGCTCTTCATCAGCATAAATAACACAAATTTGTTTTTAGGTTTCATTGCATTGCTCTCATTTTTATTCTCGGGTGCCAAACTGGTAACCTCGCTTTCAATTCAATATGGCCGACACACATGTGAACAAGAATAACTTGAATACCCAATAAGTTCACAACCCAATTACCACAATCTTATTGTCTTAAATTCTTACCAATTCAACCCGATTTCATTTCCAGATACAGTGTGAATGGATCCATACACACGACCGTACTACACCTGGATAACATCCAAACATCGGATGAAGGAAGTTTCGCTTGTGTATATCAGATTACCATAGGCAGTTCAATCATAACACGGATGATTCCGGATTACGGCCCCGTACGACTCACTGTATGGATACCCCCCTCGCCAACATGTTCCTACAGCAACCTTGAAAGCAATGCGACTGCGCACAGCAACACTACGACCGGTCCGACTGTGGAGCTCAGGTGCGCAGACACGCTTGGCGTACCGTCACCGGAGTTAAACTGGCGCACGGATGATCGTAGACTAAATGCGGAAAACCCGCACGTCTATCAATACGAGCTTCAACCAGATGATAACGGAAGATGGTTCCACTGTGAGGCAACCAGTCCAGCAACGCGAGAGCCAGTTATCTGTAGCGTACGACCCATGAGAGATGCCCCAACGGCTGAAGTGACGCCAAAACTGCTTCAACTTATGGAAGGGGCGGGAAACATCGAGTTTATCTGCATTGGCAACGGCCTGCCGGAGATTGTGTCTTACCAGTGGTTTATCGATGGTTCCCCAACCTTCACAGTAGATCATAGAATCTACTCCAACATCAAAGTGACAAATGCTGGAACTGGATCAGTTCTTACTATTGAGTACATTTCCAAACTCGGACGGACTGTGGTATCTTGTGAAGTTATGGTGACAGCAGGGTTTACGGGGCAAGCGAGCGGGAGCGTGGTTATCTACGAACAAGAAAAATCAATCATGTACACACAACCCGTCAAGAAACAAGCTCATTTTAAAGTTGAAGCAGTAAAGCTTGGAATGAAACCATCCGTATATGCAATGCCCCTCGCTGTGCTCTTCTTAATCTTCATCCTAGTTCTTGTTTTATTCATCTGGTCTCGTAAACTAAAACGCCGGGACGAGGCTGCACACCGCCATACTCGGAAACTTTCCCCCAGTGAAGTGATTGCGAATGGGGAAGCTACCAAGCCGTTCAGAGCCTACAGGGTAACTACCGTGTAAACACACTCCAAGAAGTACCCAAGGAAAAGGTGTCACCAACAAAGATGTCGAGTAGAGACTACGCATCAAGTAAAAAAAAAACACATTTACATAAATGGGAAAGAACCACCCGGTTTACTAGTTTTCAAGAAAACGTCTGTCTGTTCACAATATCTCACGTAAATAAATACATGTTTCATTATTAATATATAGAAGACGCGAATACAGCACATGCTAGAACTCACTGACGTTCATAACTAAATAAGTACACATATTGACCTCAATTGAATAAAATTAATTCCTAATGATAATTCCTTTCTGCCAAATACCACAGACAAACAAACCATTTTCTGATAATCCATTACTATATTTCCATCTTAGCACAAAGTACATGTACACCGATTCCATAATCCACAGAGATTGAGGGACTATATTCTTGTAACGGTTTCGTTCGACTTAGGCCTAAGTTTGTTGTATTACTAGTTTAACACAAGAACAAGGAAAAAGTAAAAGTGTCCTCCACATTTTTGAATCGGCACAATTTTGAAACTTACAGTCTCATGTAAACAGTTGTTCAAGATTACACCAGTGGTTATTTTGAAAAAAAATCAACCAGAACTAGGGGTTAAACAACCGCGGTGCTCGTCTACTACTGATTCAGTTTTCTCATCAAACTTCCGATCATGCCGTTTTGAATAACTTAATCTTCCCTTTGAATGTTAAATACCTATATACACAGGATTTATTCATAGGAAACGTGCTGACGAACTATCAAACTTTTGCCTGAATATTTCAAAACCTTCACACTGTATTCTTCGTATATCTTAACAGCTGTATGTATTTATATTTGTTCCAAAAAGGTAGTTGAAATACTCAAACATTCATTAATGTGAAAATTTAAGTAACCGTGAAAGCAGAATTTTTAGCAAAATTTGTACAACGCATTTTTGGCTTGGCTTGTGTACTGTTGGTATAAAGATGGCAGGCATAAAGTGGGCTTGTAAAAAGGTTAATATTTCAAAAAATAAATGCACTGTTTAAGTATGTGTATAAGTTTCCTTTTCCATATCCTTCAAAAGCTTTCAAGTTTCACATCAACATCTTCGAAAACAAGGACTGTTGAAGAAAGCAAAAGTTCACACTCGTGTTGGGGAGCCAAGACTCTAATCAACGCTTGTACCACACACCTCTTGCAGTGACAGCCAGGTAACTAAGGACTAACTTACCCTCAATTAAATGCCACGTATTTCGTACGTCATGCCTCCTTTCAGAAAAGACTAAAGAAGTTCGGATTCGGACGACTTGGTGACACCTAATGCACTCCGAACAAAAATCAGCAGTTGCCTCGATGGAATTCATAGGCTTCTTTCGCTTGTATATTATCCAAAATAAACTCTCGAGTGGGTCAAGTTTGTGGGCGGGGCCAAAGGGGAGACCTTTATTCTTAGTAGTGTAGTTACATCACAAACAGCGAAACTTGCTTGCATATTCTCTCACAATCCAGTCTTACATTTATTATTCCTCTGAGCTTCTGTTCATCACGATGAAGCCTGCTGCTGGCTGCTCTGAATTATTTTCAATTCGTTTTGTTCGTGTTTTAACCTCAGTCGCAATATTCGCTCCAGTAAATCAACTCTGCAGAAGCAAAAAATTCATGGGAAGAGAACATACTCTCAGACCAGTCTCATAAGTACAAAGATGCAAGGAATTTCTAATTCAATAGCCCAAACATTCAACAATTTTACAAGAAAGCATTATAATTTGAGTTCATTTCTCGATTTTAGAACGAACACTTAAAAAAACTTTCCCAGGTATTGGAAGGGCCCACATCAATTGCCAAGTAAAGGGCTTTACTATCGCCACCCCTTAAACAGTTGGCCACAAAGGCATGATACTTTCTTTAAGTTAAGAAAAAATAAGAAATTATACTTCAGAGGCTTAGGCCGAAATGATTTTTGGCTAGGTGAAGAAAGAGTTTGAGGGAGGACATGTATTGACAACTTCCAAGAATTTTAAAAAACTGATAGAAACAAACCTGTGATCTGGGTTTGTGATGCCCATTTTCTCCATTCTAACGGGATTGAGTCGCACTAGAGCACGCCCTAGGATAGACAGACAATTCAATGAAAGTCACTTGTGTGGTCACTGAATTCTTTGGTGAATAAATTTAAAGACACAGTTTGCCCTACTTTACTTTCACATTGCTGGATTTTTTTCAGTGTTGGGGTTGCTTCCATCTCCGATGGCCTTTGACCACATTCAGCATTGTAAACCTATTTATGATTATCAGTCCTGAATTGATCACCTTGTCTACCCAAGATTTCCCTTCTTATTGCCTCTCATGAACTAAAAATACACCGAACCATTTAGCTCTATCCCATTAAATCTTGACCAATCACAGCATTAGCCAGGAATAGTGCACCAGTGGCATATCTAGCGGGGACAAGATGGGGGGGAGGCAGCTTTCCCCCTGACAGATTGAACAAAAAGATTATAATTTTATATCAAAAGTTTATATATATTTATCAAATATTAACACCAAACCCCTAAGAAAACAACACCATGAAATAAAAGCAAGGATATCGGGACAATGAGCTAGGCTTTGAGAATTTTTTCTCCCACAACATCATGTAGAATGAGTCCAAGCCACATTTGCTTTGGAATATGCCCCCCCCATAACACCAAGAGCTGGATATGCTGCTGTGTGCCATTGAATGTCTGACCAATGTGTGTCAAGCACGCGTTTGCCTAAGATATCTGCATTTGGAGCCTGAAGCATGGCAATCAAGAGGCACATGCATCATTGATCCATTACGCATAAACTCTTGGCCGCACTGCAGCTAAGGGAGGCAAATTCCATTTTAAGTTCTTTGACTCGCACCACAAACAATAACTGTGATAACAACTCCAGTGGATCCCTGTACCTGACAGGTCGTGTTCCTCGAACATCTGACTGTACAGGTTATGATACTGTTCATATTTTCTCAGCCATCGCAAAACCTCCACATTTCCCCAGTGATAAACCGTCTTCTTAGTCCGGCCACCTGGCTCATTGGGCTTCTGAGATCAAGAGCAAAAGTTCAAACGTCATGACTCAATCTTCTGGAAATGAGATGTTGAAGATTAGTTTATTGAGACAAAAGGATTTAAAAAAACAAAATGTTTGACAAGAGAAGTGTTTAAATTACTGCTGGAATTAATTTTTAACATCGTTTGTTAGTTGAAGAGCTCCTGGACAGAAACTATGTTTGTTTTGGGGGTAGTCAAGGGGAGCTCTGGTTAAATATTTATTCCGTTGTTTGTTTGTGACCTCCCTTCTTGTGTACTCTATGTCACTGTATATTGTACAAGTACATGTACATGTTGAAAAATGAAATAAACGAAAAGATATAAAAACAATCACTAAACTGACTCCACAAACAGGCAATTAACACAGTGGAAATTTTAAAAGAAATATGTGACCAAGACGGAATTTTTCCATACCATTTTTTTATGCTTGGCCTTTGCAGTATGTGTCTTATCGTTATTTGCTGTTTCTTCTTGAGTTTCGTTTCTCATGATATGTTTGGCTCCAAAATCATCCATCACATGGCTTCATCTGATATTGCCTGATAAAATACAAAACAAAGACATTAAAAGCTTGGAAAAGATTTGTCTTCCACATATCTACTGATTATTGTAATGAAAATACTGCATGACCTACAATAAGCGCTTGTGATTCAGTTTTGTATCCAAGTCCATCCGAGTCCCTGTACATGTAAGTCCATCATGGGTCATGCAGGCTTAAGCCAATTCATAAGCTATTCAAATGAGCTGTGACAAAAGTATTCTTTAATCATTGTTCACGCTGTTATTTATTCATTTACATATATTCATCCAACAGTGCATTTAGTGCCAGTAACAGGATGAAGTGATAATTAAGATAAAAATAAAGACACAGTTTTAGAGGTGGGAGGAAAACCCAGAATGAGTATTCAAGGGAAAACCCACAGAGTCAGGCAGGGACTGAAAACCCAATCAACATGCTGACCCAGGTGGGATTTGAACGCACGTCCCAGAGGTGGAAGGCAGGGGAAGAGCCACTACACCAACCTGACTTACGACTGGCCTTGTGAAAGGACTTGTGATGGACTCCCATAAAGCACCGGCATGATGAATACATAAGGATGTAAATATGCAGTGTATGAATAAGTTGGGTGCTATCAACACAATGGCGATCAGCAGAATTGCATCGCACTATCTGTCAATCCTGTATAAAATATCTTTAATTACCCTTTTTCAAACAATTTGCAACTACTAAGAAGTAAAAAGAAAAGCCAATTGACAATGTTACATATGCAATGTTACCCAGTGACAGCAAAAAAAATGAAAACTTGCCTATTACTACGCGAATGGATAGTCAAATTTATAATTGACCACTTTAAGCAATGATCATTTCATAATATACTTAATCTTTGAAACAAACAGTTTTTGGCCAAAGCAGTTAACCTTTAACATTGAGCTGGAAAGCCACTACTAGCAAGCAATTCATAACTTTCAAATTCAAATTTTTATCATTTAGTTTTTGAACTTTTGGGGGGGGAGCTTCCTGACAGTAGACTGGTGAAGTTCAACTAAAACCTGGCCTAATACCTGGGGCATTTATGCGAGTCACCAATAACAAAAGCCCGGTATGGCAATCACGTTACTGAATGGATCTCGATCGCCAAGCCATGCAAGATGTCTGCATATATATCATATTGGCTGATGACAATCTTGATTGACAAGACGTGCAAGAAAAGATTGAGATCCTACCCACAAACATGATTAACATTGGTATCAACTCACATAGTAAAGTAAAACCATTCGGAGAACGTCTGGTGTCCCCACTGTTCCGGTTAATCTTTAAAATCCAAAGTGCAAGATGTAAGTTGAGGAAAAGCGTCACTAACATGAGTTGCCGATTACGCGCAGCACAGTCACAATGATGTGCAAGTTTTGGCCCGGAAGTAAACAACGCTGAAATGGCGCCCTCTCTTGATACTGAGCGGTGATCGTACGTAGGCCAGAAATTAGATACAATGCATATTATGAAAACCTGTCATCAGGAATGTCGCAGGTTCTTGGAACCTACATCTTCCTAAAAAATGTAGGTACCAAGAACCTGCGATATCCTGTATCATATTGACATGCATGGCCGGTTGTTTGCTTTGTTCTTTTTTAATCACACTGTCTTGGATACACCATCTATACTTTCATAATTTTATCGCTAGTCTGTCCATTATATTGAGAGAATAGTCCTTACGCCCCTATTGAAATGTCGGAATTCTACCAAATTTGACATATTTTATCCTTTATTTAAGTCGGGTTTATGGGCATGCTCTAATTTTACATAGCAAGTAGCAGAGGGGCTGATTCCGTTTAACCCTAACCCCCTAGGGTGTATGTAAAATCATATTGAAATCGGAAGATTTGGCACTGTTAGAGGTCCACTTCCTAAAGCCGCAATGCCCGTATGAGTACATTGGATGACGCTTTGTGACTTTATCGTGAAAACCTTGCGGCTGGGGAAGTCAGCCAGATATTGACAGTCTGTAGGTACCTCTGATGAGGAAGACGGTAGAATAGACACATGGCCACGTCACAGACCGGTGTACCAACCTGAGCTCATTATGGTTGACGATAGAGAGATAACAAAGACTGACACAACGAAATTCTTGACCGTTTAACTTGGAATAAAAACATCAGTCACATTCCTACTTCTTGCATGGGGCAATAGTAGTAACAGTAATCTTAAATGAATCTTCAAATTACAGAAAAAAAGTTCTGCGTATTATCAAAAATTCTAATTATCATGAACCTAGTAATTCTCTCTTTTACAACTCTTAACATTTTAAATGTTCATGATATCTATCGTCTTCAGCTGGGCTCCCTCGTGCACCAACTCAACAATAACAACTTGCCTAAATCAATATGTTCACTGTTTACAAAAAATGATGGAATCCACAATTATTTTACACAACAATGTCATGAATTTCACATCAGGTCTCATGCCCGGACTGTATTTTCTAAAGCTACTGTAAAACACGAGGGGCCAAAGCTGTGGAGCTCAACTGACAATTCATTGAAAAAAAATGCCAGCTCCTCTATGTTTAGGCGTAAAAATATTATTAAATAACTATTTATATACCACAGAGGTACAGCCTACATGTTACTGTTTGTAATTATTTCTGCATGTTATTTTTTCTGTTTAACTGGTATTAATGTTTGTAGTTTGTTGTCATAAGTGTCTATGGATCCCCCACTCGACAAGCAATGCTTCTTGTGGGTCTCCATCCATCAACTAAATATGTACCATAGAAAATAAAGTGAAGTGATGACATGACACGCGTTTGAAACGCCATTTTGTTTCCAAAATGGCGGGTTGTTGTGTGTGCCGGGAATTGCATGAATCTTTGGGGAAATGAGCTTTAAGATTTTAAGATAAAGATACCAATCAGAGTTAGACAAGGTTACTGGAACAGTGTAAAGTAACAATTTTATTAATGGTGTATTGTCAAATTGCTCGCTGTTACGTTGTGAAAATGTTCATTTAATTAAGCTCAGTCTTCTCAAAATCAACCAAATGTGAAACAGGAGAGTGGTCCTCTATCAGCAACTCCCGGTACTTCCACTCAAGCAGACGGACCCTTTCTATGTGAAAATTTGATCTCCATTCTCACTCCTGGTGTTTAAATAACTTGAAGAACTTTTTGATCATAAAACAATGAAATTGAATAATCTTCGATGTATAAGTATTATTAAATCGTTCATCATTGCTGCCAATACATGTACCGTTGAAGTTGGTTTTTACAGCACTATACTAAAATCGCTCCAGTTTAAGTTAAGGCCAAAAAACAAGGGTCTCTTGTTTCTGGTCAGCGCGCGCGTCGCTGTAGACGTGACCTGCGCGTTGGCCAAAAAAGTGTTTATTTGGTATAATACTATGTCCAAAAGCTGCCAAACTTGCGTGATACACTGGAATCCTGCACTACGTAATTTCAAAGTTTTTAGTGGGGGGGGGGGTTGACTTGTGTGTACAGTTAAGAAATCCCTCTAGGCCCCCATTAGTCGGGCATTCTTTCGTGTTCATCTACAAGCTGAAAACGCATATAAATAGAGTTGAGGCCTGTCTATTTCAGTGTTGGCAGCGGCGGTACGTACAAAATACGTACATGCAAATGTACATCAATTCTAGAAAACAAATAGGGGAAACAAATCCGCGACGCCGCACCACTTTTGGGGCCAGCCCGACCAGAAAACTGAGACATGTTTTGCCTCTAATAGTCTGTATTTGCAGTCTTGCAGCAACTGGACGAAATCGAAAACTAAGGAATGTCCGTCAAGATCAAGTGTCAACGTCACGACGGCTAAGACGACAGAAAGCTTGCCAGTGCGATAACATGAAAAATAATTTGCGTAGAATAGAGCTTCAAATTTGGCCCATGCATTGCTTTTGGTAATCCCAGCAAGCACACTAAAATGTATAAAGCTTAATTAAAAGATTAAAAGGTCACAATGGCTAAGAAAAGACAACTCTTGTTTGTGATCCAAAATTAACGTCGTGGATTTAGGTATATAGGCTTGGCTTTTTAAAGATTATAATACATTTTGTTACTTGTCAATAATTTATTACAATTTTGTTTCTTGTGAAACATTATATTTTATGGACAAATTACGAGTCGCTATGGGAATATTTTCAAGGGGAATACATGTATTCCGTTTCCGAAAAAGACTTATCGACAATACGGCCGTTTCACAATAGTGCGCCACCAAGAGTTTGCAACGCGTTGGCCAATCACATGGCGCAAAATTTGTCGACCCAATACACGTTTGGAAAGGGTCGAAAGGTTACGTATTTATTGCCATTTTGAAAGACCTGACATGAACTAAATACTTCCAACCAAGCTTGGAAATGAATTTTTGGCAAGGTGGGTAATTTTCAACGTGGATGAGGCTTGGACTGAGTCCGATTTGACACACCTGGTAGACGCTCCTCAGTTGCAACTTGTAGAAAGTAGGAAGAAATATTCTCCCGGCTATAAAGGCATTGATGAAGAGAGGAATAGCGGCACATAATGGACCTGAGGCTCAGCTCGAAATACACCTCAGACACCGAGCCTTGGATGTAGATTCCAGGAAAGAGACTCGCCAAGAGTGATAAGGCGACTGGGAAGAAACCCATCTGGAACAAACGGTTCAAAAATTCAGTGGTTAAAACTCCATTTGTAAAACAAGAATATAAACAGTGAGAACATTTCCAGCTCCACAAAAAGCCTTTCTGATTTTTTTTATTTTTCGTGACAAAACTACAAAGCAAATGAAGGAATCGGGTCTCAGCGAGTAAAGGTTTGCATGCCTATCTATTTTATCACGCACCATGCACTTTCAAGTTATTTTATCAGTAAACAAGATCTCTGTTCCCCACTGATATGATGGAAACTGACCATATGATCTGGCAACACATACTAAACAAGCTGCCTGCTTCTGTAAACCCACTTTTTCACAAAACCTAGCTCGAAGTATCAAAATTATGCTGCAATTAGACATATTTCCAGAAAAAGGTTTTACAAGACACTTTACAACCCAGGTCCTAATGTTCTCGACTAGGTAACCCGTTGGTCAGAATACTTACAATCGTGTCAAATATTGATACAAAAGGGGATTCGAACCTTGAACCAATTGATTGCAAGTTTGGTTCTAAATACACTTTCTGCAAGTGATATTCAAAAGCACATCTACCCCCAGGCCTACCAAAGAGCGATCCCATTTGGATTACAAACGAAATCCACCTGATCTTTGAAGAGATTTTAAATGGACTTACCTGTCGACTTGCTGACACACATACTCATCGGTTGTTTTGTTTAGTCTGCTCCGTACTGCATAAAATTTACCAATCACTGCCGACACAGCCATCACTACGCCTAGAACGACAAAGTCGGCCCAGCTATATTTTGGTTGGTTAGTTTGCTCCATGATTTCAAACAAAACAGGTTGCTTGGAAGGAGAAAAACTAACGTGGACTTAAAAACAATCAAGAAACTTTAACTTTTGTGTCATTCATTAGGCCTATAACTACACTTTCAAGAGAATAGAGCCGATTCAAATAGAACACAGACAATACCAATGGTTATATTTTTCGCTTTGGTTTCCTTCGGAATGGATGCCGTCTTGACACCTCTGCTAGATTTAGTTCCAGACAGTGCTTTTATAACTTCCAATGTTGAAGAATGTCAATTCACCCCTGCGCTCCATTTGAACAGAAACGATTACCATGGACAAATTTTGCAAAGATTGTAAATTTAAGTACAGACTATTAACTAAAAACTGGGGCCCTTTTAGTAGTGTTGTGCAAGACAGCTTCAGTGGCAGCAATAACGATAATGGGGTTGAAGAGTCTCAGTAAACAATCAAAGATCAATCATGGTTTTATGATGGCGTTTTCTGAACACTGAGGGCGAACACTGCACTGAGAATATAAATTTCCCACTAGAAGGTCCCTCTGTTTCAAACCACGCCCGTTTCATTATTTGCTCGAAAAGTGGTATCATTTTAGATTATTTATCACAGGATGGTAGTTTAGAGGACTATTTCTAAATCACACTCAGTTGATGAGAATATTGAGCTCAATTGAATAAACATTTTCACAACGTACCAGCGGCTACAGTTACAAACTCCAAGGTGCGTCTTCCTTTATTTGACTATGAATCTTTAAAAGGTTCTTATACTTCACACACTGCTTCGGTGACCTTGTACAACTCTCATTTGTCTCGTTTTCATGAAAATTTATCAAAGCCCTCTGTAATTTATAGCCACTTCCCGAGGGAATAATGCAATTCCACGCACGACAGTGGACATTCCTTTCTTTTCGTGCAGTTGAGAAAACTCAGTGAAAATACTCACTTTTCTTTAACTGGGAAGTCCACATAATGTCTTCCTTTCCTGTCCTTCATGTGGACATCTTTTGATCACAAGTCCACACTAGGTATGTTAGGTTAGTGCATCACTTTGGGAACAAAATGACACCACAAACCTACATCCCGTGACCTAAACTGGACACTCAGTCTCAGTGTAAGGCATGAGGTCAGGGGTCCAGTCAACTGTTTTTTTCTTCAGAGCTATCTACAGACTGTTCATTTCTGACTGACTTTCCAAGCTGCTTTTTACAATAAAGCCACACAGTGTCCACCCCTTCATCTATGGATTTTACAGGCTCAACATCAGGAAAGGGGAAACGGCAAGCTATTACAACACCATCCGCACAAAGTTCCTCTCTCAGTTTGCCCCGTAACTTTGGCATCTAGAAAGAAAGTACACAAAATAACAGACATTTTAAAATATCATTGTCAATTTACTAAAAAAATTCCTAGATCTTTTTGAACTTCTAAAACCAATCTTCATTATTACGCTGAAATATAACTATGCTGTTGAAGAATCAATTTAATTTTGAGGAATACTTCTAAAGAAATAGATTGCGGGCCAGGACACAGTCTGACTTTTGTTACTTAGGCATGTAATGCTTGGTTTATCAAATAAAAACTTGTAAAACAAAAGTGCTCCAATAGGGGCACTACACAAGCACAAAAAATAACTCCAAATTATCCAATACCACTGCACAGAAATCAATGATAATACATATTAACCCTGGAAACTTTCATGCAAAAAGCTAACCATTGATGGTACTCCAAATACCACAGTGCTCTCAAACCGAGACAGGTCCACTTTCCATAAATCCCTCCTTTGAAAGTTGGCCCTACTATGTAATCCTTGTAGCCTGGCAGTCAGTCTAGAGTACCAAACTAACCATGGATTCAGCTCATAACCAGTAGCTTGGAAACCACACTTCGCTGCTTCTATAACCTGAAACACAAAGAGGGATACAAATGATACAAGATGATCAAGTGGGAGTAAAAATACAGAGTACCAAGTTTTAAAAATTCTGGTCAATATTTTATTCTTGACTAATCCATGATTACATCTATAATCATGACGACAAAATTCAAAGGAAATTATTATTCAACCATTCAACAAGTCTGAATTCCTAGCAATGCACATCTACACTTCTGGCTAAGGATCTAGGATTCCAAGAATTTGCAGCGAGAGGATGAAGAAAACTTTGATCTTCATGAAGAAATATCAATTTAACCATGGAAACAGTTGACAAATATGAACTCAATCCATCCGATGTGCTTGGAACTCTGTACTCCCGGTGAACCCTAATCACTAAGCTGAAAGGCAAAGCAGAGGATTACTTTATCACACAGGTTGTTTAACTCATTACTTCCGGAAACAAATTGTAAGACCTGTCATACTTGCATGAATCTAAATGAACAGTAACTTTATCAGGATCATTTGTAGCGAAATTGGCCTGATTGAAATGTGTGTAGCTTTTATGAATTCAGGGGCAAATACTTTTCATTACAATTTGCACTTGTGGTCACTTTTGTGCTGATATCGAATAGACTTTCAGATGTGATTTTTACAAAAACTTACAATTCTTCCATCGCCACTGCCAAGATCAACCAATGTGCCGCATGTTTTCCCTGCTGAATGCAACATCTTAAAGACATTCTTCACCTGTCTCGTCGTGGCTGGCACATAGGGTAAGCAAATCTTGCGGAATGCTGGTAAAACAAACGGTGTTGCAACTGCATACAGTCCACCAATCACAGCTCCCGATATTCCAATAACGATAAGGCCTCCATTTAGACGTTTGGAAGGTCGGGTCACACGAGCATTGGCCTGTTAACGAAAACCAGGGGACAAGACAGATGAAAAATCATTTGATACTACGTTATTCAAACCTCATTTGCTACTGCTACAGTTAAAATGCTATGCAAAGTGTCAAAAGTGTGGGCTGCTGGGATAAAGTTCCCACTTCATTACACAATGTTCAATTTAATGCTTGAATTCCAAACTTTGTTAGTCATTAGATTCCATAATAACATGAAATACTAGACTCAGTATTGCTTATAGAGCAGCATGGACATCTGAGAGTTTCGCAAAATGGCTGGTCGGTAGTAGCCAATGAAAACAACTGCAATGACTGCACGCGAATACTGATCAAAGAAATGATTGTGGAATCCGATCCTCTGACAGGCTGGAGCACGTGTACATCACCAATGTAGCCGTTTTCATCAGTTACTACCTGCCATTTAGCAAGATTCCAGGATGTCCGTGCCGTCTCATTCATGACATTGGGCTTAATTAAAGTAGGCCCAACTTAAACTAGTACGCCTAGGCCTAAGTACTGACTATCTATACTCAGAAGAGGAAAAAGCTAAATTTTGGCTTTCAGTTTAGTACTACTACATAATACTACCACTAAGCTACTGGTACTTAGTACTGGCCTACATGTACATACATGTACATGGCATGCAGTACAAGGCCACACAGACTACCCTCAGTGTCCGACGTCCGCTCCGCTCCCACGTGGGAGACCAGACTGGTCATGACGGTGCACTGACCTTAATTTTTAGGTTCTTGTCAATCATGACGATTTTGTAGGCAACATCAATTATGATTCCGACCTGCAGCCGCTCTGTATTCAATGCACTGTTTATGGAAAAAATAGCAACATTACGGTGCTAATAGCGCGTTAGAACTGGGGGCCGACATCACGAACGTGTTGGGCGCCGCCATTGGTAAACTGTAATTTACAAACCACTAGAGGGCGCTGTTGTGATTATTTCTGACCACTAATCTCTAAAAAAAAATTCTTACAGAGATCAGGGTTTCTTACCTGTTCATGATTGGTGAATAGGTGAATAACCTTGGATTCAAGTTTAAGCCGCTTAGAGTTGAGTTGGAGAGAAACAGTACGAAATTGATTCCACTACCCTAGTCGGTCAATTGTTCATAGGAAATGAGAGAATGCTCTGGGTGTCATTAAAGGAGGAAAATGTGAGGCTTTTTCTTTGTTTGTTTTACTTATCGCAGTTGGTATTACTTTTATTATTGCTTTTGTCCCAATTAGTGACATTTTAAAACCATAAATATTGAACATTAAAAACGCCACTTCACTTCTTGTTTATTTGAAATGATGCATAAAACCTGACCATGGAACATTGTAAAACCGCATTCTAGCAATTTCTTGAACTGTTTTCCATATGATACCAGTACATGCTTTTGAAAGGTCATGACCTAAAAGCGTACCATTTAACAGGTTGGTCCGTCTTAAAATGACGTCACTTGGCAATTATCTTTGGATCACGACTTCCTGTCTGCCCCCTGCTTTGAACAAGCGCCAATCCACGCAAGTACAATCTCTGTCAAATTGCAGTTATTTATAACGGTCTCGTGTTGCAGACTCAAATGACTGAAGGTCAGTTCAGATATGCTGGGGGTAAAAAGGAAACAGTTACTTAGATTTCATTGGGGAACGTTTTGAAATAAATTTTCGTCTCAATATGACGTGGAGAATTCCCGGAAAGTACTTTTAGGCGCGTGTCGCTTTGCACGTCTTCTTAATAGGAAAGCTGAAACCTCCACGCTATGGCCAGTAAGTATTGCATACTATTAGTACGATTTCTGAGTAGTGAGTCCGTTCGTTTGACTACCCCACCCACCGAGTAAAGAATTTCAGTTTGCATTGAATTGCAACACAGAGGTTCGGCAATTTGGCGCCTTCGAAGAGAAACTGCAAAGCTAGTTGTTATCATTCGCAGAAATTCTATTTTTTATGGCTTCATCGATCCGGAAGCTCTCTCACCTATGTCATATGACGTCATACATATGAATATTAATGTACATAAAAATTTACTGACACATGGTGTCACACAATATAGTTACAGCTTTTCCTCACTCATAAACATCACCAATGATCACCTCAATTTAAAAGTGGCTCAGTCTTTTGTGTTCTCAGCCGCTAGGACGCCCACTCAAGGACAGGCCGTGTGTTTATTCGTATCACATTCCGGGTGTACTTTGAAAACAGGTTCATTCAGAGCAAACCATGTTTGTCCAGGTATAGTTGACACGCAGTGAATCTTTCCGCCGCCTGAACGTCGTTTGACGTCGCCGAGAGATTAGTGCTGTTCAGAGACTGCAGTTCATCTCTGCCCGTGCAGTTGCTTTTCTGAAAAGGTGAGTCTTCAAAAGGCTTTCAATCACCAAAGGGGTGCGCGTTTTGAACCGTATATATATCGACTAAACAGTGAGTTGAAATTATAATCATAATATGTCAGTCTTGCGCTGGATTCAGTTCGTCCAAGTGTGGGTAAGTTGTAATACGGGTCCTTCCACGAACGTGTAATGCGAACCGCCAGAGTATTAAATGACCAGATTGCATACAGTACAAGGTGCATTTAGTTATTGTAAGATGTGGAATTTTTGTGTTTCCAGTATCATCATACCCAGCTTCAATTATCATGCACTACATGGTACTTTTTTCTTAGAGGGTCGCAAAGGCTGGAACTTTGCAACTTGAAATCTGCAATTTCTGGTGTAAACCTTTTTAAATTAATAGAAATTTGTTGACGAGTTGCAATACGAATTCAACATGTAACTTATAACCAGTAACTACCGATAAACAGGAATCGTCAATGGATTATTCATAATATCATGCATATTCGAAACGCAGAGCAGTTTTGAAAGCAAACTCATTTTATAAATTCATCACTCCTTTTACTCCATGTAGTTTACAATAAAACAAATCACTAAGTATGGTTGAGTTGGGGCCTACCTTTCACTGGGCCGACTACCTCATCTTCACATGCATGCTGGCAACCTCGGCAGGCATTGGCGTGTTTTATGCCGTGAGAAGCAGGAGCCAAAACTCGTCTGGAGAATACATGCTGGCCAGTCGGCAGGTGAGTAAGCTGTGTTATTGAGGAGGCTGTTAATCTCGGAAGACAGGTGCATGGTTGGATTACAGGCAAATGGAGGAAAAGAGAGCAAAGGGTCAAGCCGATTAAGAAATTGGTGTTAACGAATCCTGAGTGTTTGATTTCACCTTTGCTCTACAGGCCACTGACTTATATGAAAAAGTCGACGTGTTTGGAAGGCAGACTGCATGGGTTTCAATTAAAGGACACACCTTTCTTGAAACAGTAAATTCAAATTGGTCTAATAAGAATCAGTAATTTATATGTTATATTTAAACCCGTAGCAGACAGAGGCCTTTTTCAAGTTTCAACTCTCTAGCGTTTTCATATTTTACCATTACGGTGCATCAACAGTTATGACACAGGCAAAATAGTATCACATAGGTGTTCTATTTCTTCATTTTTCTGAGATAACAGACAAGAAATATTAAGGCAAATTGAAATTATAGGAGGGAGTTTCAACCTTTGGATTAATTTCACTGTATGTCATATGCCCATGATGGATGTTCGACGATGCAGATAATAGTATACATGTATAATCATCACGTGGGTGTAGTTTACTTCCATGAGGCATAAAAATGGCATTTTCCATGCGCTCCCAGCCGGAAACAGTTGATTTGAGCTTTTTTTTTTTTTTTTACAGCTGCTTACTTTTAAAGAGCCTCACACCTGAAAACTTTGTCAGCATATTAACTGGATGAAGATACTCCTCAGAAATTACTCTTTTTCGGTTAATTCCATTCTGAAACTGCATATTAATATCCCTTAACAACCAATAGTCAGCGTTTCTGAATAAAACATTTTATCGGCTGCAAAATCAGTTCCATGACTGACAAAAAGGTTAAAATCCTAGTGTTTGAGAAGTGGGCCGACAAAGCAATTCAATAACTCCTATGTATTTAAGTGAAAGCGCTGTCCCTGGCCTAGACAAGGAAGTTAGAATGATTTCATCCGGAAAGCCCACCCACCTAGGTCTGACCAGTCGTTCAGACCGTCATTGTTGCGGTGGCGTGCTTAGCTTGTTTGCATGATGACTTTGCAGTCGCACTATCGCGCAAGCGTAGCAAAAGTTTAAACTGAACTTCCCTTACGACTCTTTGTCGATTTAAAGTTCAGCACGGAAACAAAGTGAGCACACTGATCCTATTTGTAAGCAACACCTGACGTGCAGGGCTGTTCAGTATCGGTCCAGACCATGTTGACTTGACACAAGGAGGAAATTCCTCTTCGGAAATGGTGGAATTGTTAACTTCTTTCCCAAAACCTTTGAAACAATGACAGGTTGATTTCGCTTTGACGAGGAACTGTTCTTCCCTATCATTCTGCAGTGTTTGTTTCAAATAATTCATTCATTTCCTGATATCTAGGATGATACGCAGGTTGTGGTTTTAAGATTCTGGTCAACAAACAATTTACCTGCGTCATGTAAAATCCCAAGAATCTACTTGTCGAACGCATTGACCAGATCAGGCCATGGAAATGGTTCTCAAGAAACATATACAAAGAAATATATTAACGAACCAAAGCCAAACAATGCCCTGGGGAGGGACACAGTCGTACCCAATGGGGACCCTTTCGTGCGTTAGGTTGTTCCTAAAAATTGACGCTGTGGCTTACGAGAACCACTCAGATGATTGATGTAGCCCCCCACACCTTTACGCCTGATGGTTATATTCCTCCTTTCTTTCTATTGGTCTACCCTTAGATGAGTTTCTTCCCGGTGGCAATGTCTCTCCTGGCCAGTCTTTTTACCGGCGTCTTCATCCAAGGAAGTGTTGCTGAGACGTACTATCGAGGAGCCATCTTGCTGATTGGTTCTATTATTCCACTTGTTATATCTGGCACTATCTCAGGCCGTATCTTCATGCCCAAATTCTATGAGATGAAACTCACAAGTGTATACCAGGTGAAGAATGCCTTTAGAAGTTTTGATGTCTTCGATGTTCCTTTTTGGTGAAAAGATATTTCTGCTTTCATTTAGGAACAACCAATACTTTCGCTTGAACCAAACTAAAATAGCATAGATGCAAAGTGTATTCGGATCTCATGATTTGGTCCATGGAATGATGTTCGAAAGAAGAAGCCCGTAAATAATCGGTAGGCCTACTATTCATGAAAGTAGTTCAAAATCACCTCTTCACATTTGGATACATCGTCGAGGACTACCCATTAAACCTACCAGTCCTGAGTCCTCCAATATCAACCCTCCAATATCAATCACTCTCTGTCAGCTGTCAAAAATAAATCACACAGCATTTTGCATTTATGGCTATCATTCTTTTTCTCCCTACACTGTTTCAAAGTATCTGGATTTGCGTTTCAATGTTCCTGTCAGAAACTGCTGTTTGCTGATTGGGTATCTATACATGGTAAGTGATGTAGCGTTTTAAAATTTCACTAGTTTCTGGGGAAAGTCAAAAAGCCAGAAGATTAAAAGTGTTTTTTTTTTCAAGTCAAATGAAATAAGTTTTGAGCTGTTGGAATCTGTCTCGTCATTTCAGATCCTGCACTCGGGTGTTGCTACGTATGCAGCAAGTGTTGTCCTGACAACGGGTAAGTAACTAAGGAGAATGCATAAAAGGGCAATTCAAACCTCAAGCCATTTTTCTCTATTATTCACCCTGATCATCTAATGGTTTAAATATTTCCTTTTCTTCCAGTTACTAGGGGCAAGTTGAGCGTGCTTTTGAGTGCGGTGATTCTCTCAGTAGTCTGTACCTTCTACACTGTCATTGTAAGTCATACAATGTAATGGAAGTTTTGCATGAGTAATTTCAATTATACATTAAATTAAGTTCCGCAAGATTGAATGTAGTGTACAGTGGCGATTTGTTTCAATTTATCTTCTTCAGACGTCAAATTGTGGTTTGTGGTGGTTGTGGGCGGGAAGGAGCTTGTAACGGTAATGTCCGGTCAGAGGAAATGGTCAGTCAGATCAGGGAGTTCTTGAGAACACCGGGGGATGGACGGAAGCATTTTGGCCAGTGGCTGAGGCCAAGATGACCACAATTGAACCCGGCAACCGAATCTAATTAAACTGATCCTTTGGTCATTGAAAATGAAGTGTGAATTCTAAGAGTTTCAACGGATCTATACGTTTGAGCTTGCAGATCCGGGAAACTTACGCAAGAATAGTCAACACAAGGAACCAGTTTGGTTTGCCTATTTAGCAGCCGTCCTTCGTGCAAAAATTGCAAACGTCGTTAAGGAGTTGAAACTTTTCACAGTTGTGTTTTTTTAAAAGCCTACTCTGATTAGATGTTTCTGTTATTTACTCAGGGTGGAATCAAAGCCGTTTTATGGGCAGACTGCTTCCAGATGCTTTTGATCTTCGCCTCTCTTTTGGCAGCAGTACTTCAGGGAGCAGTCACACTTGGCTATACAGAGATTTGGAATTTGAACTTAGAGGGCGGTAGACTCAACCTTTTTGAGTGAGTTGTAGTTCTACTGTACGGGGATAGCCAGCAGGCACATAGCGATTGCGGCGTCTTTTTTGTGTCTTGATAGACCTTTTCACCAATAAATTCAAAATTATGCTCACATGCGCCCAAATGGCCACGGCGGCAAGATGTGTGAGCGGGCCATTGAAAACATACAGGGGGGCGAGTTTAAACATTTTCTCTCAGGTTTTTTGGCTTTGTTCAGTTTTTTCTTCAGGAAATGCCATGAAATCGTTTTGGCTATAAATAGTGCAAAAAGAGACCGGCTAAGATAGGCCACGGCAATCTTGTACGCACAGGAAAAATCACGATTGCAAAGTCTCATAGCACTAAAAATCCCGCTTGGATTAGAAACTAATAGCAAAGAAACGATTTAATGGGCTGTTTCAAAGAAAAAAATGAAAAAAGACAGAAAACCTGGGAGGAAATGATCAAAAGCGCACCCCTGCCGCATGGGCTATTTGTGCGCATGCGTGCATAATTATGATTTTATTGGTTAAAAGTTATATTGGACAAAAAAAAACCCCGTTTACACGCGGAACGCGGTGTTTGAGCGGTCAAAAAACACAGAGCTTGCGCTTCACGATTTTTCAATGGTTCATGCTATGGAAAAGAATGGTCTCCGAGTTCCAAGTGAAAAGGAGTCAGTAATTGGGGAGATGCCTTGAACGGAGTGCGAACACTCGTTGTGCTCCTGTTACGGTAGCCTATACTTTCTTGCCTCTTCCTTTTTTTCTGTACTATGACCTACATACGGAACCTATATGTAATACTGGCAACATTGACAATACCGGAATTATGGTAGAATGAACTTTAATGATCCGGTTACAATTGCACAAACAGGAAAAAGTGGCCACAGTCTGACCGACAAAAGGTTGTCAAACCTCAGTTTCCCAGGTCTGTCTTTTTTTATGTTTTGTTTTAAAAGCAAAGAAAAGTGAACGTAATTTTTAAGTATTCCTCAAATCGTTCTCTTCAAACTCTTCATGACATATCATATCTACGTCTTTATTCTGAACATTCTTTTAAATGATTTCTAGGCAATTTCAAGTTGTAAACAAAATATTAAGTGCCTCGTGTCAATTATTTCTAACCAGTTAATATTGCGATATTTTGGATCAGATTCAACCCCGATCCAAGGCTGTACGCTTCTTTCTGGACCGTTTTTATCGGAGGAACATTCTCATGGTTACCAACAATGGCAGTGCTGCAGTATCAAGTTCAACGATACCTCACCTGCAAAAGTCAGAAAACTGCACACATGTAAGTTGACCCTCCTTCAGACTATACCCCCCAAATCCTGTCATGAAAGGAAAACATATTTCACATTGTGTAATTATTTGCTTTCATGTCCAGGTACTTTATTTATTTGGTGTGCTCTAAAAATGTATGCACGGCGAAATGAAATCATTGCCCCAATATCCCGAACCACTGGTCCGTGTTAAGTTCTAGACCCCCCAGTCTATGCGGTGAAAGCGAACGTTGGTGCTGTACTTACATGAACGATTACTTGGTAAAAATGGATTACGTGCCATACATGAAAACAGGAAACGTATTGGATCGTTCGTGCTCCACAAGTCGAGAATTTCCGTGCTGTCGTTAGAGCCGTGCCCTCTATTTTTCAACAACAGCGACACAGTTCCGTGTTGTACCTAGTACTGCCAACTTACCGGTTCATCTACCGTAGAGCTATCTTGATCAAAACAATGTATCGGGCTAGGATTCGCTAGTTTTCGGCAAGCGCAGTCTGCATACCGGGAAATGTTAACCAAGGAAAACCATTAAACAATTCCTGAGAATTTTCAAGTGAAGTTTCTCTTATTCCAGGTATAAAATATCGAAACCGACAGGTACGAACTGGTGATCATAGTTGACAAAAACAAATCCAGAAAGATTTCCTTTTCTAATTACTTCTTTTTGTAGGTCATTTGGAACTTTCATCGCTGGGTGTATTGCTGTAACGATTCTCTGCGTTTTAGCCGGAATGGCATTATACGCCCGTTACGCTGACTGTGATCCATTCTCCAGTGGCAGTTTGCCCATCAAAGATGGGGTCAGTGATTTTAGATTATAAAAAGCTGATGAAAATATTAACGTATGGCTGTTTAAATCATCGCATGTGCCAAGTTCTCTTCTACTTTTACAAAAGAGGTTTCTTTCAGTGAGTGGATTTATTGTTATCCAATGTAAAAGTACAAAAAGAACAAAAACTAAAGAGTTGTTTTGAGCTTTTATTTTTTTCAGTTGGTTAAACAAGAGGTGTGTGTACTGTTTGCCCCACAGCTTCTTCCGTACTACATCTTAGATGCTTTCAAGGATCTTCCAGGTGTCCCAGGACTTTTTGTCTCCGGTCTTTGCAGTGCTGCTCTCAGGTAAAAGAAAATAATCAGCCAAGGAATTGATCAGTTCCACCTTTATCAGCCCCAAGTGGAAGCTGAGGCTTAAACCTGACCGTTTACTAAGAACTTTCCCCCAATCCTAATCAAAACTGAATGTGCATTTTTCCAAATTCTCAACATTTATCCTCGTCGAGTCGAGTACACACTCATAAGTTCTTATCAGAATCATACCTTTTCCAAAAGAGATCTTTCCACATGGTGTTACAGCAAGCCCACTCTTTAGTTAGGCTCCACCATGCAAAACGTCAAGTCATCATATCAACATTTATCATACAAGCCAGTGGTATATCCAGGGGAAAACTTGCCCCATGACAGATTTTTGAGTAAAGCTTTTGATATTGTTTCTCCTCCAACCTCATGTCGAATGAGTCCAAAGTCACGTTCGCTTTTAACCCCCCCCCTCACACACACCAAAAGCTGAATATGCCGCTGCTTCATGCCCTGACTGAACGCTCACTGTGGGTACTATGTTAGTCCTACCAGCGGCGTAAATTTGTGGCAGGGACTGTGGGGGTGATGGAGGGGGTGGAGGGGGAGGTGATGTAACTCCAAAAAAAGTTATCATATCAACCTTACCTCAAAACAGCCGATGTAGGCCCCTACAGATGATTTCCTAAAAATCTGCCTTAACTCGGCGCTCACGAAAATTGATGTGCTTGTGGAGGGAGATAATAGAGAGTTTCGGCAGAAGTCGCGGTATATGGTCACGTACGAGGTGCGCCATAGAATTTGTTTCGGCGATCAGTATACGCTTGTGGGAGAGTGATCAAGCATGATTTCTGTACTTTTACTCTCTCTTTCTTTTCCATATGTTAACAATCTACAGCACTTAAACTGTCAGCCAAATCTCTGTCAGTCAGTATTTTTACACAAATGCTAGAGAAATGTTAAAACGACATAAATACAATACGTACGTGGTCCAACTCCTTTTCACATCTAAACGTGTCCGTGGCCGCCACAGCCCATATTTGGTGCGCATGAATTAATGACGTCAGCAGCGAAATCTCGACTTCACGTTCACGGAGCGCGCGGCGGGGTTTCTGCCGAAATATACCCCCATCCACCCGAGATTTACGCCCGGGTCATTACTATGGAGTATTTCTTTGGGGGTAAGGACCTCTTTCACAACGTTTGGTTGATCGTTGCTGTTATTCTATTTTCTGATTTTTTCTCCGTTTTAAACTTTGTAGCACCACTTCATCCATCTTGAATTCCATAGCAACAATAACTGGAGAACACGTGATCACTAAAATCTGGAAAGATCTTCCAGACATGAAGTACTTGTTCATCACCAAGATGCTTGGTAAGGACGCGACAAAGGTTGAAACTGTATATTTTTGTTTAACTAATGAGATTTGTCTAGAGTCAGAACAGTCCATTTAAATCAAAGTTTACGGGCAACATTGCACTTTATTTCAATCTCACTTTCAAAAATAAAACCGCAACGAGAATAACCTTTGCTCTGCTCTCTCCTTTCACCTTTGTTTCTCGTTTTTACTTTGACAGCGCTTTTCTTTGGTGCTCTAAATATCGGAACGGTGCTTTTGGTCTCAGCATTCGGGGAACTTCTGCCGGTATGATTTTTTTCTCCTTATTTCATATTAACTTGTATAACCTAGATATCGCAACTATCATGTGCTGTTTTGCTGTAAAGAATGTTCCTTAACCAAATGGGCCGAAGATGTTCGACAACCGAATAGGTTGACAAAAGTGGGGATGAAAATGAAAGGCAACTAGTACAGTCTCGGTTTCCGAGTTATGTAATTTTCCGACTTTGTGCTCGTTTTTCTATACAATAAATATTGAAACTCTTAAAATAACTGATAAAAGTCAGTGTTAAATTCTTTATTTCCTGACGATGAAATGCCAAGAAAGTTTCAACTTGCCTTAATTTTTCTCTGAAATTTCCCTTTCAGGCTTTGATTGGCATCATCGGTGTAACTAATGGCCCAGTTTGCGCGGTGTTCATTCTGGGTTTCTTTTTCCGACGGGCAAATGCAAAGGTGGGTTATAATTTCGATATCGATTCACGGCCAAGTTTTCCTTTTATTCCTTTCGCAAATGTATTTTTCTTCAGCAGTTTACCACCTTTTTAAAATCCGTTTCCGTGTCGGAAGTGTTCGGAATCGATTAAATGCTATTTGTTGGCAAGTTCACCAAGATTCCCTGAGGTTGACTTTCTGAAATGTAAGGATCCACCCACATTTGGACCGTCATTAATTAATTCACTGGGTTCAGGTGCATGAATTGTTCATGAGAAAACGATAGACAGTAGAGTTATTCAAGCTGCATCACTCATTTTTCTCTCCATACAGGGAACCCTAGTCGGTTTCATTACTGGGATAGCTGTGGGTTTCTGGCTGTTTATTGGCTCAGTCTTTTACCAACCACCGATACCGTCTCTTTCACTGTCAACGGAGGACTGCCCAGATGTCATGACAAACACCTCAGTGATTGTCACTACAATGACCATGGATTTTGTAAACGTGACTGCGGCAGTTTCTCTACCACAGGCCAGTTCAAGGTAGGGAAAACCTTGGCAAGGCTAAAAATAAGATTTTTTTTGTTTCCTGTGTTGAACGGGGGCCGTGTTTCTTTACCTGAACTCCATCAAGTTTGATGAACAAAGTAAAAGGCATGTTCCCCATCGATACAATCAACTGCAGCTCCTTTGTGATGATCCAATTTACACCCTGCGGACTTGTCCATGTACTTTCAATTTTCCGAGGGGGTTCATTTTTTTTTATATCAAGCTAAGATTTTCTAATACAACTTAACATTGACGACTACAGTATGCTAATATTTAATTATTTATTCTTTATACAAATTGGAATTCTCCCCTCTAGTTCAATCGTTGAGCTGTACAAGGTTTCTCGGATCTGGTACCCAACCATATGCATCCTGACGGTTTTGATTGTTGGTATTGTCGCCAGCCTAATATTTGACGGTACGTAAAACCTGCAAGAGTTATCGAATAATTATAATAGCATATCAGATAAATGCCTAGTCCATCTGCCCTTAATTAATTAACAATTATCCACTACCAGCCGGGGACTCCGAAATCAGAACCGTATGGTT